CTGCTGCTGCTAAATCCGTTTCATCCAATTGTTGCCTAATAGCTTCCATTTTCTCTTCCACTGCTCGTTTTGTTTCTGTCAATTCTTTGCTACGTTGCTCAAATACTTTTCTATTTTCCGCTAATTTTCGTTGAAGTAAAGAAGACTTTGCCTTTGGGGTTTTTGCTTGACTAATGTCATCAATTGTATCATCTGTTACATCCATTGTGGTAGATTCAGTCTTATGCGTAGTGTCTTTGGATGATGAAGCTCCTTCTTTACTACGACGTGATAACTTGGCTCTAGACTTAATCTTTGACAATCTTCTTGCATACTCCTAGATACATAAACAAAAAATAAATGTGCATACAATACATATGTAATTACAGAACATTGTTTCAATAATAATACAAAGCAATAAAAATTTTAACGTCATTTCTTTTTTTCCTAGTAACTAAATGAAGTCCTATTATTTTATTATTTGATATGATCTAAAATATTTGATTTTAAGATATTTATGAATTAAATTATATAATTTGACAATTAATCTATAAATAAAATCATTTACTTACATTCTTAAAATGTTTTCTCAATTTTTATTCAGTAATAATTCAAAGACAATTATTTAATGTAAATATTAAATAAGAAAGTTTTTTGCTTGATATTCACATGACATGCAATATATATGCAAAGAATGAGGTTTTTGAAAATGAGGTATTTAAGTAGTTTAATAATTTATATTACCTGGACCTCCTCCTCCTTTCTCTTTAAACTTTGTTGATTCCTCATCATGATTTCCTTGAGAGATTCTAATTGATTTTTATTCTGCTCGCATGTCTCCGTGTGTACCACAGCCTCAGGAGAGCCGCCTTCCATCGCGCCTGATGATTCCTCAGACGCGTTCCACATTATGCACTGTACAAACAGAAGCAACACAAACCACTGCATTATCTGTTTTCCAACCTACTGGGAATACACTCTGACAAGGGACAACTGAAAGTTAATGGCAGTGAAAGTTTTTTATCTAATATGGCAAAATAGAGTATCACCGAGTGCTCCCATTTTCCAGATCTAATTGGATAGGGTCTAGACTGGGGCAAACTAATTGCATTAAGTCTCGACGCAGATCAGACTTTTCACATTTCACCTCATTTCTACATAATACTCAGTACAGAGACAACACCAAAGATCATGCATCTTTTCTCCGTTCTTTATTCTAAAAGTATCAACAATAATATTACAAAAAAATGTAAGTGTTACAAATTAATATTATTAAACACTTTATTAATATCATATCATTTTATGAATCAATTAATTACACATCATTAGGATGTTTTAGAATTATTCCTTTTTATTTCTATTATTATGTCCATTATATTAGTATTAATTCTTATTTTCATTACTTTAACGTTAGTTTTTCAGTTTTTTATCTTTAATAGCTGCATAATGTTAATCGCAAGAAAATATGCAGAAAATATCATATGCTGATCATGCCTATAATATATAAAATTACAAATAGATAAAATTCATAAATAAATAATTGTATAATTATTAGTTAATATAATTATAATTATATTAACTCAAATTTCTTTTTAAAAAATTAAATCTTTATTACAATCATGTATCCATTTATTTTTGATAAAAAAGAATATCACTCATATATTCTTGAGCAATACAGTGGATATACAGTTTCTGTCTCAATTTAAATTTGAGTTTATCCTTTTTTATTTAATTTGAGTTTATCTTTTTTTATTTCAAAAATAACATAGGATATTATATATTGAATTTAAAAAAATTACTTTGATACTGTTTCTATTTATAATATTATATAAAAGCAATTGATTATTGAATTTAAAACAAATTTATATTTTTTCTTAGGGAATAGTATAGGAAGCTTTTACAAACAAATATTTTGTTTCACATACACAAAAATGTTTGCATTTTTTAAAGAATAACATCTGTACGTCTTTATTAAAATTATATATTCATAATAACAGTACAAAATTAATACAAAGATTGACTAAGTTTTTCATAAATGTTTATTAATTCAAAAATATTAGATAGAACAATACAAAAACAATAGATAAAACAATTTTTTTTTCACACAAAAACAATAAAATATTATATTTTATATTCAACGTGAACTTATATTAAATTACATACTTCGTGTTATTATTTCCAATTGTTTACTTTATATTGTATTATCATCTTCAGTAATATAACTGAGTATAATCATTTTATAAATATGACAAAATATAAAAAATATAATATAAAAAGGAGTTTAATAACCAGAATATTTTTATTTTTTATATATCTGCATTTTCAAATTTCAAAACTAAACAATACATGTATTAGGTATACATACATATATCAAGGACAAAAAGTGCGCAAACATAACGAAAATTATAAAACAGCGATATAACATAAACGAATTTATAAAGACATGCATATTCGTCAATTTAACATAATGTTCGAGAACAAAAAAAAACTAGGTCTTCAAATTGTGAGTCGTAAGAGCAAAATCAACAATGCTGCTAAGAGTGCAAAGTAATAATAAATGTTAAGAAAAATTCACTTAGTTGCACAGTCTGCGGAATCTTAGCGAATCGGAAATACGTGGTCATGCAAAACTGTTCGGTTATACGGAACGGACATATCGGACTTCGCCGAACGCCGAACGGCAGAACACGTAGCAAAGTGACGTAATCCACGCGAGGGACGCACGTGAAAGAAATGTGAGCGCGCGTTTCTCCAACTCATGGATGTCGTCGGGGGACGATCGGGAACGGGGAGATCGCGACTTGGAGTGCAACTTCCCGATGCAACATTTACGTACCTTCTGTTTGACGTCGCGTGAAGTGTCAGGAGGATAACACGTCGCCGCTCATAATTAGGTCGCTCTGTCGCCGATCGCGGTTCCTCGGCGCTGCGAGTGAGCGCACGTCAAACACGCATACCACGGTGGAACGATCCGTGGATACGCGATGATACGCGATAGTGAGTGACAATAAAAGTTCTACGTAAATCCACGACAAGATCGAACCGACATCATCGTCGTTGTGCCATGATATTCTTACGACCGGAAGTGCCGAAGGTACCGTCATGCGCGCCGCATCGTGGAGAGTACTACTATCTTCTAGAGAAACAGAATTGCAGTATTTGCAGTTGGTAAATTATTAACAACAGATAAAAGATACAGTTGCGCTAAAGTTTCTACAGATAGAATATAATGTGTCTATTATTCTATTGACGTTGCTTTGGATATAAAGCTTTTATTTTACAGCGCTTATATATTTTTATTTATCAATATTAAAATTAAATGTATTAACAATCATGAAACTTATAATTACTTCTTTCTGTATTATTTTATTCACTTTATAATAAATTTACATTACTTTTATATATATGTATGTATACTATTTATATAAAAAAGATTCGTGTAAACTTAACAATACATAAATACTCCATATAAATGTTTATTATTTTGAACACATCCTAATTCGAGGAATAACGTTGTAGCTTTCCATTCAGTAATACGCAATTAAGTCAACACAAGTGTATCTTCGTTAGTCACTGATTACAAAAAAGGCAGAATGATGTGTCATCAAGTGGAAAATACCCATTAGCGCTATTTATGTCATTATGTCTTTATAGTTTCGTTCATGAAATAAAACAAAGATAGGAATGACATGAATATTGTTAACTTTTCCAACGCACTAAAAAAAAAAGGAACTTATCTTCCGACAAGGACAATAATTCAGTGACGAATCTAATTCTCCTAATTTGGAAGATCAACATGTAGTATCTTTTGTTATTTCATTCCTGTATTCTCCAAATTTATTTCTATAAAATTTTATTTTATCACTTCCCAGATAGCATAGAGTCCAAAAAGAACTGTTTTTTTATTCCCAATTTATATGGAACAAATTCCTATTTTATCTTATTTATGTCCTAAAAATATTCCTGAGAGTCTCAAAAAATCCCGAGAAAAAATGTTATATAAATGGACATATTAGATCATTTAAAAAGTATCCGCGGTTTTTTGTTCAATTTTTGAATGAAAAAACCGCGGATACTTTTTAAATGACCCAATATTTTATAACTGTACATAAAATATGTCATTTTTTATATATATATATATATATATATATAAAAAATGACATATTTTATGTACAGTTATAAAATATTGGGTCATTTAAAAAGTATCCGCGGTTTTTTCATTCAAAAATTGAACAAAAAACCGCGGATACTTTTTAAATGACCCAATATTTTATAACTGTACATAAAATATGTCATTTTTTATATATATATATATATATATATATATAATTATACATATTTTTATATAATTATATATAATTGAATATGAAACATTTTTTTCCGAACTCCTTTTTAAATTCAAAACATATCCTTTTTTATTTTTTAATTTTATATAAAAATAAATCATATTTTGACTTTTATGCAAATTAAATAATTATTTTCATTAAAAGTAATGTACATACAGGATGTTTCTGAAATAATGCCCTAATTATATAAAGCCGTTTCTAATAAAAAATCCTTTTTGAGTTCATTTCAAACAGATTACGCTAATTCACAAAGAACTTAAGAAGATGAATATTCTTCGAAATCAAATGGATCAGTTGCGCTATCTGGATTAATATTCTTATTTTTATCAAGAATATTAACTTCGTTCACTAATGAGTGAAATAAAAATAATAAAATAATAAAATTACGTAGCGTAAGTCTGCAGACTGCAGCTTTTCCACTTTTGCCACCGTCTAATTAGAACTAACGGGAATGATTTTTTATTCAAGCGAGGAACCGACAACGCAAATAGTTATATAATCAAATCAATGTCAATGTGTACATTAGAATATTAAATTTTTGATTATACAGTGTCCAAAAATAACGCGAGATATTCAACCGCTTCGACGACATTCTGACGTCCGTATCACCAGGACACGCTGTACATTTTTGATGTCGACGTCGCGCGAAGGCAAGCATCGCGCGCAACGCAACGGCGCGGTGCGCGGCGCGGCGCGGCGCGGCGCACTTGCAGCTCTCGGCGCCGCTCGCGTCATCGCCGTCGGTGTGCCTATCGACTATCCGCTATCCGCGCTTGCCCGTGATTGTCGAGGAGCAGCGTAATTTTCCCAGTTTGACGCACCGCCGCTGTGTGTACGACGATGGAGGTGCAGCGGCTGTGCAAAGGTAGGAAAATTATACGATCGCATGGAGAAATCGTAGAAGTACCACGAAAATATTCCATCGCGCTTAGCCTTCCCTAACTCTCCCACTTGATAGCTCAGTCATGGATGAATGGTTGAAGGAAATCGACGTACGCATGAGAGGTACGCGTCTATATGTTCGCAGTACGTGTTACCGATAAACCATTTCATTTCTCTTGCTGTGCGAAGGAAAGAACCTATTCCACGATTATTTATGCTTTGATGACTTTTGATGGTCACAAACAAAATTCCGATAGCGCTACGCACTAACAGGATTTGAGCTGTGATTTCTTCACGATGAGGAGAAAGAGATTTTTTGCGCCAGAGTTCGTTCTCCTGTTGGCGACTTTCTTCTCGCTGATTTTTGTTTATTACGAATCCCTTCGAGCGACTCTTAGAAAGTCGAGAGTAGAGCGCGAAACTTGTCCACGGAGAACTCGAGCTTTCTATTATATATACGTAGAAGCGATATTGCGTGAATTTCTATTTTTTTTTTCGAGAAAAAACGAGGCTTCCGTAGAAACGATATCGTTTTGTCTTTTTATTTGATATCACTTTGTGAGGTGGCAGCAGAAAAATTCCACATGAAGAAATTAGAGCTTCGCACGTTCACCGATGCGCGTAATATATACTTGATCAATAACGAAATTTCTGTTTTCATCGTGAGGGCTTGACCCGGTTTCCCTTCTTGGTTCTGAAACGGAATGTCGTGTCAAAACATCGATATTTCGCTTGCGACGCGTCATGGATGCTTTTGTGCGCCAATTCTACAAGAACGAATCTAACTCTGAAAGTTCGCTCTACTGGAAACAAAGTTAATGATAAATGTATCGTACCGTCTGACTGTGGAAACAATATCCACATATTTGATTATATTTAGTCTGCTATATACTTTGTTCTATCTATATAAAACTAATTACATCGGCTTAGTCGAGTTCCTCCTTTAAATACCAATCTATTTACATTATAGATTACTTTACATTATAATTTTATTGGTCTCTTTTTTTTTAATTCTGTATATGATTGAAAAATGTTACATCTTTATGCAATGTGCTAATTAAATGTAGATTCACATACATTGTTTATATCTAAATTGTGCATTACTATATAAATTTAAGAAAGAGCTTCTTATAGAATAAATCTTATAGTAGAATTAATACGACAGTTACAATGTAGGTACAAACAACGCTTTCCAGTCGCTTTTAGGTATAAAAAGAATACTTATTTAATAATCAAAATTATATTGAAGCAAATTATTGATTAAAATTGTAGAATTTCTCAAATCTTTGTTTTCTGTTTGATTTCAAGATTATTCCTCGTGACCTAAAGATTTACATCACTTTCAATTTGTTTCGCATTTAATTTTCATGATTAATTCATGTTGAGAGCGGTTGAGCATGAATTTTAATAATTTTTAAACCTTTTTTTCATCATAAAATGTATTCTGGGATATAATATTCTTTTTTATTGTATATTTTATAAATTACGTTATTTACAAATCATTTTCCCAAACTATGAAATTTTATTTTTTTCTATTGCATGATTTTTCCTTATTTGAACAAAACTTTGTTTTATATTTCTTTCTTTCTTTCTTCCTTTACTTACAATAATTTCTTGCTAATCTATAAAGAGAACAAAGGAGCAAAGTTTATTTAATTATTAGTAACTAATGTTGATGCGATAAAGTCATAACACTGTGTTGGAAGTCAGTCATGTGCATTGTCTTGTACTATCATACATACATCCTCATCTTCGATGCGATAAGATTTCATTTGTATTGTTATATCAACGGACATTATTTCACTAAGAACTGCGTTCAAGAAGGCCAATGTATATCGAAGCCTTACCTCTAGTAATAATGATCTAAAAATAATCTTAAATCTAACAAAATTGTATATTTTTAGTAATTCGCAATTTTTTTACATTAGCATGAATGTCATATCTTTATCTTGCAATTGATCGGTAATGAACCTAGTAATGGCCTAGCCGTTATTTTTACTCTTCGACCGGTTGCCGGTACACTTTCAGAAAAGATTTCTAATATCGAGAGGAAAAATATTCTTAACGTACTTAATCTTAGTTCAATTATATATGGTATAAAATAATAACTGCACTAAAATTAAATCAATTTTTATTCTACTCCCTCGAATAAAATAAGATCGATATCTTGTCTTGAGACTAGTATATAACACATATAAAGTTAGGTTTATATATTCTTACGTTTTGAATAAGTTTATCTAGTGTATACGTATATACGTATGCTATAGCATCATATGCGAAACTCTCATGATGTAACACGCTTAGGTGAGAGACACGCGGAACGAGAGATCTTAAGTTTGAATCTTAGCTACAAGTTTTTTGTTGCCGAAAAATATAATCTAAATTTTTCTGTTAAGAAAATAAATGGAATAACATTAAAAATATGTTATTCTAGATATTAGAATTTTTCATTTAAAAAGAAAATATTTTTTTCTGAAGAATAAATATGATTGGCTCTATATAGATTTTCTTTTATTCTATTTCGAAGAGTAGCATTCAATGATAGAAATCTTTTCTATGAGTGTACACGTATGTTACCGGCCATTGACCTTAGCCGATAAGATCCGGTTAAATTTGGAAAGAATTGTACAAATGATTGTGGCGTAGAATGTCTTTTTAGCATTATGAATAATTTATAGACAGATGATCGCAAAACCGATTATCTATGATTAAGGGAGAAATTTACGTATAAATATTAAGAAAATCGTTCGGAACCATGTTCACAATGTCTGTATATATTAGCCATCTATTCTGTATTGATGATTGCTGCCAAATCGGACAGAAATATGATTTTAAACAAAAAAAAAATAAATTAAAGGCTGACGTCATGAGCGGAGATTTACAGCGGAATGGAATAGCGAGATCAATCACAATCGCAGAAAAGAAGAAGAGTAATGACTGCAGAGTTATAATTGATCGCGCTGTTCCTTTCTGCTGTAAATTTCAGTTATGTTAGCAAATAAAGCTAACAGAATCAAATCAGACCTATCGGAATTTTTAGTACGCATTTTGTATCATTAATGATAATTTTATATCGTGTGTGAAAAAAATCGTAGCACTGCTAACTTAATATTGAGCTGGCAGGACTATTTCATTATTTTTTAAATTTGCTAACATATCTATTCTACAGATAAAAATATAAAATACGTGTCGTTTGCGAAAAAAATGTGAGATTTTTTTTATGAAGTTATTGATTTGTAAATTGCATAAATTTGAAAAAATGTCGCTCATGTGAACATTCAAATAATTATATCGAAATCATTATAAAGTCATACAAAAAAAATGCGAAATTTTCTGAGATTAAAAATCCGATTTTAAAGATCTTAAATTGATCTATGAATGAATTATTTTTAATTTAGCATTTTCATATAAATAAATCATTTTCTATTTGTTTACAATTTTTATGAACATTTTTCATCAACTCATCAATTAAAAAATTTTTTAAAAATATCATGTTTTCATCACTGAACTGTAAATTTCCGTTTCATGGAACGCCAGCCTAAGGAATTTTAGATTCATTATTAGATTTATTGCGTAGTTATGGATGGTACGTTTCTTTGTCACTTAAAAGCTTTCTAAATTTACTATTTTTTTGAATACTTCATTAATTTGAATAAAATATAAACTAATGCAGTGCACTGATTTTAGCAATATTTTTTTATTTCGTAAGTTTATTGTTATTATCAAAATAAATGTGTAACTGAAAATGTAACACATTAATAAATTGAAACTCTATTAATTCGCGATAGATTTCCTTTTCTAATGATATAATTGCCCAATAATCGCTATGTTAATATTTAACTTAATCCCGCTACAAAAAGGTATTAGGTGTACAAATAAGTTTCCGCCGTTTGACAAAAGACGGCGCCACTAGCAAGCTATGGTTAAAATTGTCTCATGTAAAACATTATATCGTAAGGTTGGACATCTGTCAACAACATAACCTTGAAATACTAGCGATTTTGTATCAGCATCATATATTTTTTTTTGTGCGAAAATGCCGAGTTTTGAGCCGAATAAGCGTCATTTACGGGAACTTTTGATTTACTTCTTTAATTTGAAGAAATCTGCAGCTGAGGCTCATCGATTGCTTGTAGAAGCATATGGTGAGGCTGCCTTAAGTGAGAGAAGTTGTCGTGAATGGTTTCAAAAATTTAAGAACGGTGAATTTGACGTCGAAGACAAAGAACGTAGCGGAAGGCCAAAAGTGTACGAAGACGCGGAATTGGAAGCATTATTGAATGAAGATTCGTGCCAAACGCAAAAAGAATTTGCACTTACATTTTGATTTACATCAATAAAACATTATGTATCGTTCTTTCACAATAAATGCTTAATTTTTGATAAAAAACGGCGGAAACTTATTTGTACACCTAACACATAAATTTTTTTTATTGACTAACATAAAAAATATCGATTATATGATTTAATACTTAAAATATTAATAATTAAAATATATTCAAGAGAAGTTGTTTTACGTTATTTATATATAAAACATTTATACATATAAATGTCTTATTTTTATATCAATTTCAAATCAATCAATTTTATATTAATACAATTTGTTATTCAAATAATGTACTTATGTTTTGTTGTTAGTAATCTACATAATTTCAATTTCTGTCGTAAAATTTTAATTCTTTTTATCTTTACTTTTTTTAATTTTTCTACATATTCCTAAATGATCATCCTAAGCCCATCTACATAGCATTGTTTGACCTCTGCGATTGTGCGACCTCTTGATTGACGAGAATGTTGTTACTTCGATAATTCACAAATTCCATGAGGGCTGATTTTTTATTATCTGGTTGAGCTTTATTATCTTAATTACAAGTTAACCAGATACCGTGCTTGAATGTTAATAGATATATAACTGTGACATATCTAATCAATAGATATCATTACAGCAATATTACAGCAACATTACAATATTTCAACAATATT